TAGAATAGAATAGAATAGAATAGAATAGACAATAGAAGAGAAGAGAAGAGAAATAGACTATAATTAGAAGAGAATGGAATGGAATAGAATAGAATAGAATAGAATAGAAATAAAGAATGGAGAATAGAATAGAATAGAATAGACAATGGAAGAGAAGAGAAGAGAATAGAAATAGACTATAATTAGAAGAGAATAGAATATGGAATAGAATAGAATAGAATAGAATAGAATAGAATAGAGAATGGAAGAGAAGAGGAGAAGAGAAGAGAGAATAGAATATAGAATAGAAATAGACTATAATTAGAAAAGAATATAGAAGGGAAGGGAAGGGAAGAGAAGAGCTGAAAGGGACCTTGGAGGTCTTCTAGTCCAGCCCCCTGCTCAAGCAGGAGAACCTATATCATCTCAGACAAGTGACTGTCTTCTAAGACTGTCTTCTTAAAAATCTCCAGTGATTTACAAGTTGCAACTGTTGTAAAATGCACGGTGGTTGCCAAGCACCCAAATTTTAATCACACAACTGTGGGGATGATGCAGTGGTTGTGAGCGTGAGGACCAGTTGGAAGTCACTTTTTTTTTCAGTTGCCATTGTAACTTTGAATGGTCACTAAACAAACAGTAGTAACTTGAGGGGCCCGTGTATTGGAAAAAGGTGGAATGTTTTTTCTGCAATTCTTGAAAAGCTTCCCCTGGATACAGATTCACTGCATCCCAGGCTTCCAGGGCAGCAATTCTCATCCCCTGAAACCGCCAAGACGTGCACACCTCCACTCCCCAAACACCTCAATAGAATAGGTCAGTGTTTCCCAAACTTGACAATTTTAAGGCATGTGGACTTCAACTCCCAGAATTCCACAGCCAGCATTGCTGGCTGTGGAATTCTGGGAGTTGAAGTCCACATGCCTTAAAATTGTCAAGTTTGGGAAACACTGGAATAGGTTATAGAAGTCATGTGGACTCTTGCTAGTTTTAGAGTTAAGAACTGGGCGCGTTTTTATCTAAATCTGTACTAAAGAAAGTCAAAAAAACCATTATTTTTCCTATTTATTTATTTATTTGCACTTTATCTTACTTTGGGGTGGATTCTCTCCTTTTTTCTCTATTTTTTTTTCCTTTCCTGCTTTTTATTCATGTTTTTTTATATAATTTTTTTATTTTCCATTTATCCAAGATAGTTATACAACAAAATTCACTTTACAAAATATAATAAATTCATAATCATAACCATAACCGTAACCATGGGTGCCACTTGCTCGTTCCCCCCAAGCTGCATCCACCCTCCCTAATACCTTCCTTACTTCCCTCCTCTTTCTCTCCTCCCCCACTACTCTCTTCCCCTCCCCTTCTCCTCTTACCATCCTACTTCCTCCCTTCACCTTCCTCCCCTCTCATCCCTCTTGAATACAGGAATACAGCATAGGGGAAATGTCCAAGCAGCACCTCTCTCATAAATTACCATATCTATATTATCCTATTCTACCTATTTACCCACCCACTCACCCACCCACCCACCCTCACTTCCCAGAGCAGAGTACAGGGTTATTAATAACAAAATTAACAATATACAAGAAAAAAGAAAAAAGAAAGAGAGAAAAACAAATCATACTTAGCCCTTAACTCCCCTTAAATTACATCATCATAAACAAATCTCTTATACAACATAATTGAGCCGAGGTGGCGCAGCAGTTAGAGTGCAGTACTGCAGGCCACTTTAGCTGACTGTGTTCAGCAGGTCAGCGGTTCAAATCTCGCCGGCTCAAGGTTGACTCAGCCTTCCATCCTTCCGGGGTAGGTAAAATGAGGAGCCAGATTGTTGGGGGCAACGTAAATATATATATATATACATTGCTTATTGGTGTACACCGCTTAGAGAGTGCTTGCACTTAAAGCGGTAGATAAGTCTCAAATAAATAAATAAATAAAATTTACTATAAAATTTACTCATAAAATAAATGAAACTTTATAGTCCCATACGTCTTCTGAATATAATCTATCCATCTTCTCCGTACAATAATATATCTTTCTTGTGTATGATCCTTTAAATAAGCAGAAATTTTTTGCCATTTCTGCTAAATTTTTTATTCATGTTTTTGAGATTTAATAAAATCATATGAAAAAAAAAAAAGAAAAGAGAAATCGTTCTTCATTCATCAGCTCCCCGGGGATCGAAGGGGAAATATAGGGAGAGATGTAATGAAGTCTGGATATGGAGGTAGTTCCTTTCAGCCACGTCCCATCCACCCAGGTTTTTATACCCCTCTTGTATTCACTTCTGACTTAGCAACTCCAAGTGGTACGGACTTTAACTGAGTTCCCCAGCTAACTGAGTTCCCCAGCTGACATGGTGGAACCATGGTGACATGGTTTTAAAGCTACTGAGACTGAGAAGCACTGCTCTGGGGGGGGGGGTTATAGGAATTCTCGTTCTTGGGATTTGAAGGACATTTTGCAGAATTGAAATAAAACGTACCTTTAAGTACGTCTTACAGTTGCTGAGGCTTAGAAGCACTGCTCGGGGAAATGTAGAATAGAATAGAGCTGGAAGGGACCTTGGAGGTCTTCTAGTCCAGCCCCCTGCTCAAGGGGGAGGAAACGGGGGGAAAATTCTCCCTGAGTTCTCGTTCTCCTTGGGATGTGAAGGGATATTCACTTGGACATTTTGCAGACTTGTCATAAAACGGTCCCCGAGAAGGAGTGAAAGCAAAACTGCAAATATGCTGGGAATCCCCTGCTGGGCTGGTGGTGAAGGCTGCATGGTTTGGTCGCCCGGTTCGCTTTGTCGCCCTTCCAGGTCCTGACTTCGGGCCAACCAAACCCGCGTGGAAGTTTTTCTGCCTCCTTTTTATGTACCTGTCTGCTCTCTGTTTTTTTCTCGGCTGCAGCCCCTTCCAGACCTTTGACCCCCGAGAAGTTCTCCGTGCCCCACGTGTGTGCGAAATTTGGGCCTGGGGGTCAGCTGATAAAAGTGCTCCCCAACCTTCCCTCCGAAGGGCAGCCGGCCTTGGTCGAGATTCACAGCTTGGAGGTGAGTCCGGAGAAGCAGCCAGCAGGATGGAAAGCGGCTGCCGTGTGCTCAGTTAATAGTAGTAATAGTGGTGTAGTAGTTGTAGTAGTAGTAGTAATAGTAATAGTAATAATAATAATAATAATAATAATAATAGGAAGGGACCTTGGAGGTCATCTAGTCCAACTCCCTGCTCAGGCAGGAAACCCAATTTCAGACCACCGCTGTCCAGTCTCTTCTTAAAGACTTCCAGTGTTGGAGCATTCACCGCTTCTGGAGGCAGGTTGTTCCACTGGTGAATTGTTCTCACTGTCAGGAAGTTTCTCCTTAATTCTAGGTTGCTTCTCTCCTTGATCAGTTTCCACCCGTTGCTTCTTGTCCTGCCTTCAGGCACCTTGGAAAATAGCTTGACTCCCTCTTCTTTGGGGCAGCCCCTGAGAGATTGGAAGACTGCTATCCTGTCTCCCCTTGTCCTTCCCTTCGTTAAACTAGACATACCCAATTCTAGCAACCGTTCCTTATATGTTTTAGCCTCCAGTCCCCTGGATCTCCCCCAACCCTGCCCGTCCCCACATGCATCCCTCCCCACGAGCAACATCGAGGTGACCACACCCACCTTGGCCACACCCAGTCCAGTCTGTCATGACCACGCCCAGTGGGCCACACCCACCTGGCACCCGGCGATAAATAAGTGGGTTTTGGGTTGCAGTTTGGGCACTCGGTCTCTCCAAGGTTCGCCATCCCTGGCCTAGCCATGCTTGCCGTCTATCTTCATCCAGGTCATCTTCTCGGCTCTCGGCAGAACGTTCTCAGGTTCACAGTCACTTGCCCCTTTCTCTTTAAACATTAAGTGTAGGGTGACCCATATCGCTCTGTGGGTCACGACGGTGAGATCTGCAGCACTCGTCTTCAAGTGGGCATCTCTCCCAGGGAAGAGGAACGGTCCCAGGTTGTATCTGTGATTCTTGTCTCTTCACAGATGGTCATGCAACACTCGTCCGAGCAAGAGGAGATGCGAGCTTTTCCTGGTCCTCTCACCAAGTAAGTTCTCCAGGCTTTAAGGAGTCGGGGTTGATGCATTTTGTTCTGGCGTAGTTCACAGGTGACCGCTTTGACTCTCGATGACATCCAAAGACAGGACAGTCTTGGGGCAGGCTTTGTTGCTGATAGTCCAAACTGATTCTATCCTTGGAGCCTTGCCTTGCCTTCTCTACGCTTTGCAGTTGTCCTTACAATATTGTGAATAGCAGTACTGAAAGTGAAGATGTGAAAGCCCTCCCACCTGTTCCCTAAAGGCAGCCAAATGTTTTGCACACAGAAACTGCAAAGAGAAGTGTGTGTTGTGCCACGGGAAGAAGGCCCTAATGCCGTGGTGGCAAACCTATGGCACGCAGAGCCCTCTCTGTGGGCACGCGCGCCGTCGCCCCAGTCCTAGGCCTTCAGTCCCGTCCATGAGCAACCTGCATCAATACCTGTGCAGGATAAGGTTGCCGTGCCCACCCCCGCCTCCCCAAGTGTTTTTTTTTACTAACCCGAGAGTGGCGTAGCAGTTCGAGTGCAGTCCTGCAGGCCACTTTAGCTGACTGTGTTCATCAGGTCAGCGGTTCAAATCTCACCGGCTCAAGGTTGACTCAGCCTTCCATCCTTCCGGGGTAGGTAAAATGAGGAGCCAGATTGTTGGGGGCAATGTATGTATATATATATATATATATATATATATATATATATATATATATATATATATATACACATACACATACACATACACATACATACATACATACATACATACATTGCTTACTGGTGTACACCGCTTAGAGAGAGCTTGCACTTAAAGCGGTATATAAGTCTCATAAATAAATAAATAAAATAAACCCACCTTTCAGCTGCATTCCGTTTCTCCGTTCGCTTCTCAGCCTTTGCTGCATATTTGTGGGACTATTAATAAAAAAAAAAAGCTCCATCAGACTTTCTAACTCCTCGTGAGATCTCAAGAAGTTAGAAAGTCTGGTGGAACTTTTTTTTTGTTACCCATAGTCCCATAAACACACGGCGAAGGCTGAGAAGCGAACGGAGAAACGGAATGCAGCTGAAAGGTAGGTTAGTAAAAAAAAAATGCTTGGGGGGAGGCAAGGGCATCGGGGCGGGCAACCTTACCCTGCATGGTGGCGGGAGGGTGGGGCACGTGCCCTTCCCATGCCAGGCCAGTCCCTGCAGCCCCAGGGCGGCTGTGCTGGGCAGCAGTGGGCAGGGTGTTGAGGTAGGGGCTGGCAGGCCGACCAAAGCAGCAGGCGGAACGCTGGAGGCTCGGGGAGGGAGGGCGCTGAAGTGGGCGGTCAGGCCATCGGCAAGAGCAACGTGTCTGAACGGAAAGCGGCCTCAGAACAAGTGGGGCATGTAAGGAAAGAAATCTTCGCTCCCCCCAGAAATTATCTTTCCTTACTTGACCCCCAGCCCCGTGCCGTTTCTCCTTCACAATCTGCCGCCACCATCACGTGCAAGGATATCAAAGGAAGCAACATCGAGGTGGCCGTGCCCATCCTGGCCACGCCCACCCAGTCTGCCGTGACCACCGCAGCCACGCCCACCCAATGGGTCACGTCCCACCCGGCACCCGACAATACATAAATGGGTTTGGGGTTGTAGTTTGGGCACTCGGTCTCCAAAAGGTTCGCCATCCCTGCCCTAATGAAAGATAGCAGCAGCATGAGCGGCATCAGACCAAGGAGCATAAATCAGACGCATTTATTGGCTGGATTCAGACGTACGAAACCACGAATTGCTTCCCGTTCCCCCGACAATAGTTGTGCGTCTGGTTTGAAAAGCAGAGGGGCTGGGTTTCCAAGACAACCTATCTGACACAAGAATTGCAAGCTTGCAGACTGGAGTTCCCTTCTGTTTATTTATTTATTTAATTTTATTTATGTGTCGCCCAATCCCAAAGGACTCAGGGCGGCGTACAGAATTAAAACAATCATAAAACAATAAAATAACACAGTCATACCGCGAGTCCGATCATATCCCCCCCCCCCCCGGGAACATCAGCCCCAGGCCTGCCGGAACAGGAGAGTTTTAACGGGGCGTAACGTCTTGTGATCTAAACCAGTGGTTCTTAACCTGGGTGATATTGCCCTCCAGGGGGCAATTTTGTTTTTCAAGGGGGCGATGGAATGAAAAGGGGGCGATATGGGGGCAAAGGAACAAAAAGGGGGCGATATGGGGGCGATGGAGCGAGAAGTTTTGGGGACACTTTTGAGATTTTTTCATACAGTCAATCGCTGTATATCTGTCGTACAAAAACATCAGATGATTGCTATTAGTAGATTGAATTGTGTTTGCAAATGTTCCTCCCGCTAGCTTCAGGACAGAACGCCGTACATATGTGAAGACGCATCGCTTTAATTCGTGCGCGTTGCGCAGCAGCCTCTACTCATACAGTGGCGCGCCATTGGCCAGAATGTGGGAGATATGGGAAAAAGATTGGAAATAAATTATTTGCATCGATATGTCCTGATGACAGTTTTAAAGAAAACAAAACAAGTGTCTGCATAAATTGAAGAATTATTTCCTATGTTGTGATTGAGAGGTGATGTTGGGGGAGGGGGGCGATGACAACTTCCTCATTGGCTCAAGGGGGCGATTCGTTCAAAAAAGGTTAAGAACCACTGATCTAAACCATCTTAAACGTCGCTTTCTTTTCCTCTTGCAGAGATGACACCCACAAAGTGGACGTTATTAATTTTGCCCAGAATAAGGCCACCCGCTGCTCTCAGAACGATGCCCTGATTGACAAGGAATCTGCTCGGCTTCTCTGGGACTTTGTCGTCCTCCTCTGCAGGCAAAATGGGGTAGGTGCTCTGGGCTACCTTTCCAGGTGTTGCGTAGACTGCTTCTCCAGTTCCAACTTTCAGACCTTCGCGCTGGTTATCTCAGAGCTTGACAGATCCAAACTGGCAATGGGAGGAGCTGAGCAGCTGAGCAGCAGCTGGCCCTGGAGACCCCCGCCCCCGTAAGCATCTCCCAAAACTGCCACCAATGTTAATGCCTTTCATTTGGCAGTAAGGGAAATGGGAGAATAATATCTAGTCGATACAAGATGAGTCGATCCATATTTATTTAAATCATGCTGAGCCTGGCTAGCTTAGCTCTGCCTTGACAGACGCCTGAATGTTGGCTTATAATAGCCTTCTGGGTGATTGTCTGAATAGTTAATTGTATAACAATTGAAATAAAAGGCCCACGGTCAAGAACTCTTTTCTGCAGCCAATCTGCATCAATTCATTCCTTGTTAATAACGAAGTCTGGAAAGTTCCACATCAGAAACTGAGCAGGTTTGGAGTAGAAAAAGATTGGGCAAATTTTGTCTCAGGCATCTAATTGGACTAGAAAAGATGGATTTTGAAGTAGATCCTTCAGCAGATCTGATATTCATCGTTCATCTTAAAATTATTTTAAAAATGCGAGTCCCGGGTATATTCATGATAAAGAAAACTATTAAAAAGTGATCACCGAGACTAAAAACTTTATTAAACACTTAACTTTCATCAGTGACTGCTGACGTTGTCAACGTATAAAGTATAATTCGTCTTCTATTTTCAAGAAAGCAATCCTGCTCTGATTGTTAGCATGTTCCTTATCAGAGGTAGCTTGCATGATGGGGAGGAGCACAATTTATTGGGGTGTTTTCAGGATGAGTCCCACTCAGGTGTTTTGGAACCTTGCCAAGCTTTGCCCTGCGGAAGTTTGGAGAAGATGCCTTTGATTTCATTGCGTTACAAAAATACTTGCCTTCTGCCCCAGAGTTTCCATAGCTTCAGTCACTTGGCACAAAATGGGTTTTCTGCAGTTCTGTCTCTCTTCTCAGTTCTGTGGGGCGTAACTGAGGTCCTGGTTGGGGCTAAAATGTCCTGGACCTCTTTACCAGGTTGCTGATTTCAGCACAACAACTGGAAATCCAGTATGTTAACCCCCACCCCTTTATTTGCGAGGGATACATTCACAGATCTGTTGCCCTCTCTTTCCACGTCTCGGGACAGCATTAATTTTTAAGTAGGCTGGACTTTCCACCCTGAAATTAAACTCCCGCTGGATGACTGCGGTAGGAAGCCATAACGATAAGTCGCTGTAAGGACCCACCCCACTTTACATCTTAAGAAGACAGAACTCTTGGGATATCTCTTCCAACAGGCATCTTTATTAAGAGAAGATGGTTGCAGGCGTTCTAGACAGGATCTGAGGGGCCAAGCCCTACCATTCAAGGTTTTAAGTGGTCCCAAGCAGTCCCCACCCCACCGTCCTTCCAGCCACGATCCCAGGCATTACATTTCCACCCCCTTTTCCTCACGGCCAGCAGAAGGAAGACTTCAGAGAGTAGTAGATGAAAGGCGATGGCCATATTGTTATGGTCAGTCCTCTTGATGAGAATCACCTCCAGTCCTTTGTAGTTTAAATGAAGGAAGTGAGAGCCATAAAACCCCTTTGCTCATCCCCCTTCCCCTTCGTAGTATGACCGAATCCAGAGAGGGCAGAAATGGGGTTTTCCATAGTCGATAACTCGAAATTAAATATAATTGGATTCTGACAGAACGACAAGCAGGTTTTCTTCGTGGACACTCAATCAAGTCTTCACATTGTGCCACTTTATTAAAAGAGCATATCACAGTCCTTTGTAGTTTAATAGAAGGAAGGGAGAGTCCTAAACCCCCTTGCTCCCTCCTCCCCTTTCGTAGTATGACAGAATCCACAAAGAGTAAGAAATGGATCTTTTTTTTAGAGCCGGTAGCTAGAATTGAAATGTAATTGGATTCTGATAGTCGCCATCTCCTGGCTTTGCACTCCAGTGGGTTTGATGGGCAAAAGCAGACCCTCCCTAGAGTTTCTGCCCCCTCCCACCCATCCCCCCCACTGCCAGTCCACCTAGGATGGTTTCCCAACCTGAAGCCCCTTCGAGGTGTGAGGACTTCAGCTCCCAGAACTCCGCCTGTTTTAAGAGCATCCCTTTTTATTTGTAGACCGTGGTGGGCACGGATATAGCTGAGCTGCTGCTCCAGGATCACAAGACGGTGTGGCTGCCCGGGAAGTCGCCCAACGAGGCCAACCTGATCGACTTCACCAGTGAGGCCGTAGAGCAGGTGGCTGAAGAGAGCGGGGAAGCTCAGCTGTCCTTCCTGACGGACAGCCTCCTCGCCACCATCAACAGCCTGGAGAAGGAGACGGAGCGCTTCCGAGAGCTCCTGCTTTACGGACGCAAAAAGGTGCTTTCCGCCTGGCCTCCTTCCTGGTTGCCTGTCGGCTCTCGCGCAAAAGAGGAGGAGGTCTGCAAAAAAATTGTTGTTGTTGTTGTTGTTTTAATGTTAATATCCCGAATGCTTTTCCAATAGGATGCTCTGGAATCTGCCATGAAACACGGGCTTTGGGGCCATGCGTTGTTGCTTGCCAGTAAAATGGACAGCAGGACACATGCCAGAGTGATGACCAGGTAGGAGATTTCTGTTTGTGCCTCTGATTTCAGTCGGGACCGACATACAGAAGGCCTTTTGGTCTGATCCCGTCTCGGCTGGCTTTGGGGCAGTGGTGGCGGACCTGTGACACACGGGCCAGAGGCAGCCCTCAGAGCCCTATCTGTGGGCACACACGCTGTCGCCCCAGCCCCGCCTCCCCCCGTGGCCCCCTCTTCACCAGCAGCCCCCTCGGAGGAGAGTCACCCCGGGAGCAGACCGCGCACAGTGTCAGAATCCAATTATATTTCATCTCTAGTTATCAATTATAAAAAACCCCATTTCTGCCCTCTCTGGATTCTGCCATACGAGGGAGAGAAGGGGGTGAACAAAGGGGCTTTATGGCCCTCACTTCCTTCAGTACACTTCAAAGGGACTGAATGTGGATATCGCCAAAAGGACTAACCATAACAATGGAGCTATTACCTTTCATGTACTCCTCTCTGAAGTCTCCATCCAGCCGGCAGTAAGGAAAAGGGGGTGAGAATGTAATGCCTGAGACTGTCACTGGAAGAAGGGGGTGATTGGGTGGGGCTACTGGGGAACCCCTTAAAACCTTGAATGGGAGAGCTTGGACCCCAAGTCCTGTCTAGAACGCCTGCAACCATTTTCTCTTAATAAAGGATGCCTGTTGGAAGAATTATTTCAAGAGTTCTGTCTTCTTAAGATGCAAAGTGGGGTGGGTGCTTACACAGAGCAGCGCAGCCAAGGACATGGCAGCCAGGCAGCGGAGACAAGACTCCACCCTCACACTCTGTTGCGTACAGTTGGTGCTGTTGGGTGGGGGTGGAGGGCGTTGCTGCCATGGGGCTGCTGGGTGATCTGTGTCGGGCCGTGGAGGCGGTGGGTGGCCCCGCAGGCGGGGCGGAGGCAGAGCGGGTCTCTAAAAGGTTTGGGGTGTTCTGAAACTCTTGTAGGGTCTCCCCAAAGGGGAACCTAGGCAGTTTTTCTCTTTGGAGTGTTGATTGCTGACCTTTGCTCTTTTTTAAACCTGTTTTTATTTTATTCAAAACACAGTTAAAATACAAAATACAGAACTCAAAAAAAAAATTCCAAAAGAAAAAAGAACCCCAAAAATACAAAACATGTGTGCAAAAAAAAAAGACATTATACACAAATTATCCCCTCTAGTTGGATACTGATTGATATATTACTACATTAGTTCCCACCCCTTGCAAAACAAGCCCTCCCCCAAAAAATTTTTAAACTACTAAGACTGAATTTACTACATTTAATTCAACAACAATTGACTAGAGACAATATTAAGAAACAAACCCAGGGTGGTTTGTTTACAACTTTTGGGTTGCTTTGGGGTAGATAAGAGGCCCTGGTAAATTTTCTACAATACAATAACAGCCTGTTAACAGAGAACTTTAAAACTCTAATTTTAATTGTTTTTCCGGTTAGCTGTTTGGCCCTCAACACAGAGAAGACAGGCCAACAAACTGCAAATAGATTGACTAGTGCTCCCTTCTTTCTAGATTCGCCAACAGCCTCCCAATAAACGACCCGCTGCAGACCGTCTACCAGCTGATGTCTGGGAGGATGCCAGCAGCCTCGACAGTAGGTGCCGAGATGGGGCTGGGATTGCAGCTTCCATGCTGGGGCTGATGGCCTCAATACGTGGAGACGTAGAATTTCTGTATAAACCTCTTCGTCTCCTCTGTGCTCACCCTGGCTGGGATGCGCAGTTGTGGTGTCCCCACCCTGCGCCATTTGCTCCCTCCTCCGTCTTTCGTGGCTCACACAGCATTGGCCTCTCCCCTCTTTCTTTAGTGTTGTGGCGACGAGAAGTGGGGTGACTGGAGGCCTCACCTGGCTATGGTCCTGTCCAACTTGACCAATAACACAGACGTCGAGTCAAGGACGATCGTCACCATGGGGGACACGCTGGGTAATGCTGCAAGGAAAAAGCGTGGGGGGGGGGTCAGTGAATCTGGAGTGGAGGGGGGGGACAGTCTCAGGAGCTGAACTTGCTAAGTGGCCACACTTAGGCTGGATCTCTTTTGCAAGGGTTAACGACGGGAATTCCAGCAAGTGAACAGCTTTATTTACTTATTTCCTTCCTTAGGAAATTTTTATTTATTTACTTATTTATTTATGAGACTTATATACCGCTTTAAGGGCAAGCACTCTCTAAGCGGTGTACACCAGTAAGCAATGTATATATATATATTTTTACATTGCCCCCAACAATCTGGGTCCTCATTTTACCTATCCTGGAAGGATGGAAGGCTGAGTCAACCTTGAGCCGGTGAGATTTGAACCGCTGACCTGCTGAACACAGTCAGCTAAAGTGGCCTGCAGTACTTGCACTCTAACTGCTGCGCCACCTCGGCTCTTTGTGGTTTCTTTAGCAATCACCGTCTCCCCCACAGAGGCATTTTGGGCTTTGCACAAATAAAACTTGAGACATCAAAACTGAATATAAAAATTTAAAATAGGGGCAGGGGAAGTTAAAATGGGACATTAAAAAATGTGTTAGAAGGCAGAGGGTTGGGGTTTTCAGGGTGCTAACCAGCCCCTCGGCTGCCTGTTCCTCCAAGAGCTTCAAGCAGGAGGGCAGAGCCAGACCTGGAGATAATTCTGGTGTGTGTGTGTGTGTGTGTGTGTGTGTGTGAAGCCTGTGCTTGGCAGTGCTGGTGCAAGTTGCCCTCAGGCGATAAACATCCCCAGGTGATTCCCCCCTACCCCCTCTTGTACGTGGACACCCTCTCCCTGGGGAGGACTCTGTTGTTTTTTTGGCCTTGGGCTCATATGTCTTTTATCAAAATTGCCTGGACCAGAAGACTTCCATAACTTAGACATTTCCAAAAGGTGATCCTTGATATTTAGAATAATATGGTTTTTCCAGTTTTCCTCCCCCTGCCCTTATCTGGTACAACTATAATGTCTGAAAGACTATCGTATTCCAGAGTTTCCAGATTCAGCGTAACTTTTATATCTTTAACCTTAAGGGATTTCTACATAAGTCTTAATTATTTATGGTACGCTATACGAGGGAAATTCAGAAATAAACCTCCGTTTGGTTATCAGTGACAGGCAATGGCAGATACACAACTTTTATTATACCCATTGGAAAACCACAACATTACACGACTTTTCGACATAATCGCCATTGAAATTGAGGCACTATCATTACCTTTTACAAGGTTTGAAATTCCTTAGTCGTCATCGCTCGGCACCAAATCTGCGCTATGGGTGTGTGTGTGTGTGTGTGTGTGTGTGTGTGTGTGAGATCAAAAACATCCCAACAAAACTGCTTCAAAAGTTCTTGGGTGCGTCTAGCGGTGTGCGGGTGAGCATTATCGTGAACCAGCACCACACCAGAAGGGGTACCATAGAAAATCCCGCCAAATGTGAAGATGCCACAGAAGGACGGCTTACCCATTTGAAAACCACGCACAGCTTACCCATTTGAAAACCACAACATTACACTACTTTTCGACATGATCGCCATTCAAATTGAGGCACTTGTTGTAAAGCGTTACAATGTATGAAATTCCTTAGTAGTCGTTGCTTGACGCCAAATCTGGGCTCTGTGTGTGTGTGTGTGTGTGTGTGTGTGTGTGTGTGTGAGAGAGAGAGAGAGAGAGAGAGAGAGAGAGAGAGAGAGATATCAAAAACATCCCAACGGAACTGCTTTAAAAGTTCTTGGGTGCGTCTAGCGGTGTGCGGGTGAGTATTGTATCATGAACCAACACCACACCGGAAGGGGTGCCCTAGAAAACCCCACCAAATGTGAAGATGCCAGAGGAGGACGGCTGGTGAAGTCCATGGAGCCTGGTTCGACCATCAGTTCAGACGTCTACTGTGAAACGTTACGAAAACTCAAGATGAGCCATCCAGAACAAGCGTCGGGTGACACTGCTGACTTCCGGTGTGGTGTTGGTTCATGACAATATTCGCCCGCACACCGCTGGACGGACCCAAGAACTTTTGAAGCAGTTCCATTGGGATGCTTTCGATCACACACATCCCGATAGCCCAGATTTGGCGCCGAGCAAGTACGACTAAGGAATTTCAAACCTTGTAAGACGTTACAAGTGCCTCAATTTGAATGGTATGTCAAAAAGTCATGTAATGTTGTAGTTTTCCAGTGTGTATAATAAAAGTTGAGTATCTGCCAATGTCTGTCATTGATAACCAAGCAGAGGTTTATTTCCAAATTGCCCTCATATGTGGATGTATAAAAAGTTACCCTCTACCATTCAGAAGAGGCAGTGTCTTCTAAAAGATGGACCAGTAACATTAAGGCAGGGGTAGGCAACCTTGGCTCTTTTATGACTCTTGGACTTCAACTCCCAGAATTCCTGAGCCAGCCATGCTGAGGGGAAAGGGAGAGGTTTCCATGCTGAGCCATGCTGGCTCAGGAATTCTGGGAGTTGAAGTCCACGAGTCATGAAGGGCCATAGTTCCTCCATCCTGGCTGAGGAATTCTGGGAGTTGAAGTCCACGAGTCATGAAGGGCCATAGTTCCCCCATGCTGGCTCAGGAATTCTGGGAGTTGAAGTCCACAAGTCATGAGGGGGCCATAGTTCCCCCATGCTGGCTCAGGAATTCTGGGAGTTGAAGTCCGCAAGTCATGAGGGGGCCATAGTTCCCTCATGCTGGCTCAGGAATTCTGGGAGTTGAAGTCCACAAGTCATGAGGGGGCCATAGTTCCTCCATGCTGGCCCAGGAATTCTGGGAGTTGAAGTCCACAAGTCATGAAGGGGCCATAGTTTCCCCATGCTGACTCAGGAATTCTGGGAGTTGAAGTCCATGAGTCATAAAAGAGCCAAGGTTGCCTACCCCTGCACTAAGGAAACCCAATGTACAATCCGGGTGCGGACCTGGAATGACCCTTTTCTTAGTAAGGAAGGCGACGCTAAATAGTAAGAAAAAATCCGGCTGCATTTCTGGGAGACGATCAAATCTCAGCCTGTCTAGCTGAAAGATGCTTGAGCCAGGATGGCCACCTTGCCGGGTAGTAGGAAGATCAATTCCGGATCCTCCTCCTGCTCTCGGTGGTCCTACCTGAATCGAGCCTTTGAGGCTGTAAATCCCTAGAGTGGATTCCGGGATGCTGCCGGCGGGATCTGCTTCCCGAGAGCAATACCGTGTTTGTCTTTGATTGCAGCTTCCAAAGGCCTCTTGGACGCTGCTCACTTCTGCTACCTGATGGCCCAGGAGGACTTTGGCGTCTACACCAAGAAGACCTCCAAGCTGGTGTTGATCGGTGTAAACCACAGGTGTGTGTGTGGGGGGGAATCCTTCCAGTTTTCTGCCTGGGGATTGAGCTGCTGCCTCGGTTCCTCCCGCCTCTTCCACTACAGAGCCGGGACTGTGCTTCTCCAGGCTCTTGCTTGCCACGTTCTTCGTGCGTCGCTGCCCTTCCACATTCCCCCTGCGGTTCCGCTTGCAGCTCAGGCAACTGTAACCGCGCAGCCTTGTTTTGCGTGGCGGAGAGGCGGAGGGCAGCAGCTGTGTGTAGAGAGGCTTGCGCCCCAAAAGCAGCTCTGCCGATTGGCATGTAAAAGAGGGTACGGTTCAGCGGGGCGTAGGTCCATGTTTTAATTGGGAATTCCCGCAAAAGACCCTGGCGCCTGTTGCGAACTCACGAAGGAGGGTTGTTGGCTCCCCCACCCCAGGCCTTGGCTTTATGCCCCCTTTGAGGGGGCAAAGCTCACCCCACTTCCTGGAGCCAGGCCCACAGGGCTGTTTCAGAAGCTGTCTTGGCCCGGTGAAGAAGGGTGCCGTTCTCTTTTCTCGCTCCTAGCCTGCCTTTCCTGAGGTTTGCCAGCAACGAGGCGATTCAGCGGACCGAGGCCTACGAGTACGCACAGTCCCTGGGGACTCAGCCCTGCCCTCTGCCCAACTTCCAGGTTTGCGTCTCTCTTTACATAAAAGTCGCTGGGCCAGCAGCCGGTCGCCCTTTCCCAGGAATCACTGGACGTCTTGGGGTTGGTGGTCAACTTGGGGGGGGACCTTCCGAGGCTGCTTCTAGTCGGGTGTCGGGATTGGAGGCTGCTGATCAGGCGCCGCCTTGCCTTCTCCAGCCTGTTGGGGCTGAGCAGACTGTGCATAGCTCAAGGGAACTCCTTAGCAGCAGTGCCTCTGCTGCTCCGGATGGCAAAGCGGGAGCAGCAGCGGTGGCGGCACTCAGAAGATTCCGGGCAGAGGTGCAGATACCTCATTTCCAGACCCAGGAAGTCCCAGGGAGGCCTCCGCAGCATCAGGACCATGTGCAAAGCGCAGTTGGCTTGGGGGAGTTTGCAGTGGACTGTGAGCTCTGCTTAGAGCAGTTGTTCTCAACCTGTGGGTCGGGACCCCATTTGGGGTCGAACGATCATTTCACGGAGTCGCCAAACAACGCAGTCTGCCATTTTTTCCCCCCTTTTCCTTAGCTGTGCTGCTCCCTTTTATTCTATTGGCTTTTGAAAGCCAATAGAATAGACTCTCTTGAATAGAGTCTAATTCTATTGGCTTTCAAAAGCCAATAGGAATTGTCCAGGCTGTCTCTGCCCTGCTGAGCCCGCCAAAAGTCCCATTCTGCAAACGGTGCTGCACCAGTTGAGTAGTCCTCGACTTACGACCGGTTGAGTAGTCCTCAACTTACGACCGGTTGGGGGTCGCGGCATTAAAAAGGTTGAGAACCACTGGCTTAGAAACTGATTGGCAGCTTATAGTTTGCCCTCAAACCGGGACCCTCCCCCTGCTTGGAGCTCTCAGACCACTTTTGCTCCCCCCCCCACCCCCACCCCAGAAAACCCCTGGCTGCTCCCTGTCGTTTTTTGCACAACCTTTAATTCTTAGGGTGGCAGAAGAGGAAAATTATTAAATATGTCACATGGGAGTAAATGTAGTACAGCTAGTCCCTCGACTTAGACCACAGTGGAGCCCAAATGTTTTCTGCTGTTAAGTGAGACATTTGTGAAATATTACCCTATTTTATGGCCTTTCTCACCACAGTCGTTAAGTGAATCACGGCAGTTGTTAAATTAGTAACCCACCAAAGTCGATCACGGGACCCTGGGACACAGCGACGGTCCATAACTAGGAACCAGTTGCCCAGCATCTGAACTTTGATCGTGGGGCTGCTGCAAAGGTCGTAACTGAAAATTGGTTATAAGTCATAAATGCTCCGTGCCACGGTCACTCAAAGACTACCTGGAATTGCTCCCAATGAAATGGAAGCGAAGTTCGCCTTCGTTCTGGCCACGGCCTCGGTCTGTGCGAATTGGCGGCTCAAAATCTTCTCGCCTTTTCAGGTTTTCAAGTTCATCTACGCCTGCCGGCTGGCCGAGATGGGCCTCATTGCACAAGCCTTTCACTACTGCGAAGTGATTTCCAAAGCCATCCTCACAAACCCCAGCTGCTCGTCACCGGTTCTCATCAGCCAGGTGATCCAGGTCGGTGCACTCTGCAGCAGGAGAGCTCCTTAAAGCCTTCAGTGGCGGGAGGGGGGCATCTGGGATCCCTGCCCTTTCCTGGGACTGGCTGGTGTTTCAGGACCCATCCCCTTTTCCTGTGCGTGATCCCTTTGCCCAGCCTTCGCTAACTTTGAGCCCTCCAGATAGGTGGGATCACAATTCCTAGGACCCCAGACCCCATTCTGGGGAGAGTCGGTCTGCCTTGGGCCCTGGAGGCAGGCAGCTGCTGTTGGTCCTCATTTTCTGGATAATCTGAGCAGTCCTGGGAAACGGCTCAATGTGACTTGATTTCCCATCCTTCATTTTGCAGATTTCTTCCCAACTGCGGCTTTTCGACCCTCAGCTGAAGGAGAAGCCCGAGCAGGAATTATTTATTGAGCCCAGCTGGCTAATTCAGCTCCGACACTTAGATGGGCAGATTAAGGTGAGTTCAACATCCTTTTGGAGGTTTGCGGCAGGTGGACACAGACTGGTCCGGCTTTGCTCAGGACTAACTCTGAGGCGTAGAGCAGGGCATCCCAACCTATGGGCCACGACCGACACCGGGCTGTGGGCTCTTGGCCAGCGCGGTGTGGAAATGGCCATTGCATGCATGCATGGGCACGCATTTTCCCCACTTATGCTAGCAGCTGCAGCCCCGTTGGCGCAGGCATACGGGCACGAATGGGGATGCTAGCCCCAGGCACGTGTACGCATCCCATTTGCACATATGCCAACTGGCTGCTAGCGCTGGGCAGTTTGTGCGGCCATTCGCGCATGCACACGGCCCTAGCACATGCCACATGCACATTTGCTAGTGCCACACCAGTCCACATGGCCACGGTTGCGTGCGTGCGCACGTGTGCACCAATTTGGAAACTGCTCTCCTTTCCTCTGCTCCGCGGGCCCGGAAAAGTTGGAGACATCTGGCGTAGAGATGCCGCCGAAGTTTCTTTTTAAAGTTTTGTGGAAACATCTCCGAGAAAAAAAGATTTCCTTACCGATGGACATGTTTCCTCCACAACTGTAAAATGTTGGCTATGGTCGGATCAATAAAAATAACAACAACAGAAGTTAAGTCAATAATCCCACAGATGATTGACAGAGAAGAACGTTACCGATAGTCCTCAATTTACAACGGTTCATTTATCGACCGTTCAAAGTTACAACGGCACTGGAAAAAGTGACTTATGACCATTTTTCACACTCGCGACCTTTGCAGCCTCCCCCGTGGTCACGTGATCAAAATTCAGAAGCTGGGCAACTGGCTTGCATTTATGACGGTCGCTGTGTCCCAAGGTCACGTGATCCCCTTTTTGCGACCTCCTGGCGAGCAAAGTGCATGGGGGAGAAGTCAGATTTACATAACGACCGGGTTACGAACTTATTCAACTGCAGCGATTCACTTAACAGCTGAGGCAAGGAAGGTCGTAAAATAGAGCAAAGCTCAAATGTCCCCCTTAACGACAGAAAGTTTGGGCTCAGTTGTTGTCGTAAGTTGAGGACTACCTGTATTGATTCGCCAGTGGGAGAGTCCAGGCAGAAGGCAAGGTCACCCCGGAGGCCGATTGCATTTGGGTACCATAAAATGCCCCTCCCCTCCATCCTGGGTCAAGAGAGCCAGAACCAGGATAGAATAGCTAAGAAGGCGAGGGGTGTGCGGGAGGAGCCAAGGGAAAGAGACCCATAGGGATAAAGAGGGGGGTCCCCAACCCCCAGTCCGTGGATCGGTATCGGGCCGCGGCATGCCAGCAACCGATCCGCACAAACAAGCAAAGCCCCATCTGCAGGATGCAGGCAGCACGCAAAACCGCGAACCCTCCGGTCTGCGGAAAAGCCTGTCTCCGCAGAACCAGTGATCCCTGGTGCCCAAAAGGTTGGGGACTCTGAGCTAGACTATCCCGCTAGGTCAGTGGTTCTCAACCTTTTTAATGCCGCAACCCCTAACCGGTCGTAAGTCGAGGACTACTCAACCGGTCGTAAGTCGAGGACTACTCAACTGGTGCAGCACCGTTTGCAGACTTGGACTTTTGGCGGGCTCAGCCGGGCAGAGACAGCCTGGACGATTCCTATCGGCTTTTGAAAGCCAATAGAATGAGACTCTATTCAAGAGAGTCTATTTTATTGGCTTTCAAAAGCCAGTAGAATAAAAGGGAGTAGCACAACTAAGGAATAGGGGGGAAAAATGGCAGACTGTGTTGTTTGGCGACCCCCATGAAATGCTCGTTCGACCCCAAATGGGGTCCCGACCCACAGGTTGAGAACCGCTGCCCTAGGTGGAGATCAGCTACAAACCCCCTACCTTAATTCCCATACGCCTTGCAGTAACGGGGGTCGTGCCTTGGGCTGGGCGGTGGCATCGAACAGCCGGTCTTCGCTGAAAGCGCCCGTCGGCGTCCCTCTCGTTGCAGGAGGGCTGCTTCAGGTACAGCGTCGGGTGCTCCACCCCCCAGCAGTATTCCTCCAGCACGCCCAGCTCAGAGCCGGACCACGCCAGTCAGAACGAAGGCCTGGGGGGCGGCCTAGACGTCAACTCCACCCACCCGCAGCTGGCCTCCCTGCTGCCCAACGTGGTCCAGCCCAGGCAGAGTGTCCACCTTCTGCCTTCAGGTGTGTGCACGACTGGCGGGAGGTAAAACCCGGAGAACCAAACTCCAGGTCGCCTTGTGGGAAGCTGGGCAGCTCTGCAGCCGCTGTCCATTTATTTATTTCTTTATTTATGAGACTTATGTACCGCTTTAAGCGCAAGCACTCTCTAAGCGGTGTACAAGCCCTCTCTAAGCGGTGTACACCAGTAAGCAATGTATATATAAATATTTACATTGCCCCCAACAATCTGGGTCCTCATTTGACCTACCCCGGAAGGATGGAAGGCTGAGTCAACCTTGAGCCGGTGAGATTTGAACCGCTGACCTGCTGAACACAGTCAGCTAAAGTGGCCTGCGGTACTGCACTCTAACTGCTGTGCCACCTCGGCTCGTATTTGTCGGTAAGCGTCCCTCTTGCTCCTTGGACTGCAACCGGCCGTGTGAGCGAAGGATGCCAGCTGCTCTGAGGCCAGCAACGGCCGTGCCAGTTCACCAGCTGCCTGCCAGACCCCTTCTGCTCATGGGCAGGACCGTAAAGGAACGGTCAGGGTCATTCTGGACCCTTGTTTATTATGGGATGCAAACGCCATTCTTTTTCCATCCTTTCTCTAGCTCCTCCTACCATCCTGGACGGCTCGGTGGCTCCGCCCCCACCTTCCCAACAGGAAACCGCCGGCGCTGTTCCTTATCACCCTCCGACGCCCTCCTGTATAGGCTCGTTCAGCCCCTATGAAACCGAGCTGAACCCCATGTACGGGGGGCCAGCAGGCCTACCTCCCCAAGGTCCTGAGCTGCAGCCCGGCGAGGGGACCCAGCACGAAGCAGGTTAGCCTGGGTGGGGAGGAATCGGCCAGCAAACGCCTGATGATGCAGCCTGGCTGCTTTCTCGTACTGCAGTGCAGCAACAGGGGAGCACCGTGGAGCAGTGATAGCGAACCTTTCAGAGACCGAGTGCCCAAACTGCAACCCAAAACCCACTTATTTATCGCCGGGTGCCAGGTGGCCGTGGCCCACTGGGTGGGCATGGCTGTGGGGGTCATGGCAGACTGGGTGGCTGTGGCCAAGGTGGGCATGGTCACCTCGATGTTGCTCGTGCGGAGGGACGCCTGTGGGTTGGGCAAGGTTGGGGGGGATCCAGGGGGTCTGTGGCAGGTGGGGCGGTGGGCAGGAGGCTCGTCCTGCGGGGTGAGGCGAGGCAGGGTGGGGGTGCCATTGTCACAGGGTGAGGCGAGGAAGGGGCCGGGGCGGCTGCTGCCTGACACCGTCGGCCCCCGCACACAGAGCCGACAGTGTCCATCAGCAGCCACAGCCTGCCAGCCCCTCAACCAGCACACTTGGGGCTCCACAGCCTGCGGCCAGCACTTCAGAGAAGCCGCTCTGAGCTGGACGGCTGGCTGTGTTACAGTTATAACCTGAGAACTATTTATAATCCCAGAAATAACAAAAAATTGCCCGAGAAACACTTATGTGCATCAGAAAAAAGTTTCTCTTTAACTGAAGAAGAAATTGTAATCGAAAAATTAGAAATGGAGAAGGTCCGTTCTAGTGTCCATCGGGCACTAGACACAGCTGTGAACTTGATGGAAAGCCTCACCTCCCTGTGGCTGAACTCGCCCACTGATGGGGCTGGACTAGAAGACCTCCAAAGTCCCTTCCAGCTCTATTTTCTATTCTATTCTATTCCATTCCATTCTCTTTTCTATTCTATTCCGTTCCATTCCATTCTCTATTCTATTCTATTCTATTCTATTCTATTCTATTCTATTCTATTCTATTCCTTAATTCTATTCTATTCTATTCTATCTTCTATTCTATTCTATTCCATTCCATTCTCTATTCTATGCTATTCTATTCTACTCTATTCTATTCCTTAATTTTATTCTATTGTATTCTACTCTATTCTACTTATTCTATTCCTTAATTCTATTCTATTCTATTCTATTCTATTCTATTCTATTCTAATCTATTCTATTCTATTCCTTGCTCACAAGAAATGAAAGTCCAGAAGGTAGATGGGTTGATTTGAGGTTTCCTCCTTAAATCCAGAGTAAAAGAAGGACAGCCCCCTTCCCACAACCAGGAGTGCAATGAGTTGTGATGCCATCCCCCTTCATAGACTGTTAAACCACCACTCCACACACACACACACACACACACACACACACACACACACACACACACCCCGGCCCCATTTCCAAGAAAGATTAGTAATCTATTAGTTTCCTTTGATAGGTAAGTTTGCAATTGTTTATTAGCTGAAGTGCTTTAGCATAGCAATAAGTGAGGAGGAACCCCATTCATTCATTCATTCATTCATTCATTCATTCATCTGTCTATGCCCTCTGGCTTACGTCTTTGTCCTTCCTTCTTTCTCTTTTTTGCACAACTACAGTGGTGGCTGACTCTCCCGTTTGGAAGGCAGTTCCGAAGTCCAGAGACGAAGACTTCTATGGGAAGATGGCAAACATGGTATTGGCCCGTTTCTCTTTTTCTCTCTTTCTCTATTAATGACCTTCATTTTGCGGCCACGTCCTGTCTGAGGTCTTGTGGGAGGTGTCCAGGCCTGCCCTGCGTGCTCTGGCTGAATTGGGCAGGTTAGTTCCAGAATGCCAAAATTCCAAAAAGATCCTAGGCCAGGGGTAGGCAACCTTGGCTCTTTTATGACTCACGGACTTCAACTCCCAGGATTCCTGAGCCAGCCACGCTGAGGGGAAAGGGATTGGTTTCCAAGCTGAGCCAGGCTGGCTCAGGAATTCTGGGAGTTGAAGTCCACGCGTCATAAAAGAGCCAAGGTTGCCTACCCCTGTCCTAGGATGAAGATTAAGAGCAGGGGTAGGCAACCTCGGCTCTTTTATGACTGGTGGACTTCAACTCCCGGAATTCCTGAGCCAGCCATGCTGAGGGGACAGGGAGAGGTTTCCAAGCTGAGCCAGGCTGGCCCAGGAATTCTGGGAGTTGAAGTCCACGAGTCATAAAAGAGCCAAGGTTGCCTACCCCTGTCCTAGGATGAAGATTAAGAGCAGGGGTCTTCAAACATGGCTCTTTTATGACCTGTGGACTTCAACTCCCAGCATTCCTGAGCCAGCCATGCTGAGGGGAAAGGGAGAGGTTTCCATGCTGAGCCAGGCTGGCTCAGGAATTCTGGGAGTTGAAGTCTACGAGTCATAAAGCGGCCTAGGCCTAGGCCAGGGGTAGGCAACCTTGGCTCTTTTATGACTCATGGACTTCAACTCCCAGCATTCCTGAGCCAGCCATGCTGAGGGGAAAGGGAGAAGTTTCCAAGCTGAGCCGTGCTGGCTCAGGAATTCTGGGAGTTGAAGTCCACGCGTCATAAAAGAGCCCAGGTGGCCTACCCCTGGCCTAGGGTGGCCTTTCTCTGAGCACTTCAGAAGAGGTCCAGGGCCAGGGCCCTCTTGGTCAGCCACCTCCTGCCTGCAAAGCGCTGCCAATGGGGGTGATGGCCTTGGACTCCCCACCGCAGGGCCTCAGGCTGAAGGCAAGAGTGAACCAGGAACCGGGCTCCCTGGATCCCTTCAGTCTGGAGGCCAGAGACCAGGAGCAGAATAACCCGATGAGTAAACAGGATCCCGCATATGAGTTCCCGGTTGTCTGCTTTTTTTTTTTTTTTTTTTCCCCTCTGCAAGGTGGCAAATGCACTCCTGGGGTTTGAGCCAGGGGACTTTTGCTGTCCACGTCTGTTATTCTTCACTGCTCGCTCAGGTGCTGATTTTTTTTCTGTCCAGGGCCCAGGCCGACGATCCCGATCGACGTCCCAGTCTTCGACCCACATGGTATGCCCTGAAGCTGACTTGCTCCCAGTTTCAGTCTTTTCTCCACTTATCTATCCTTCTCTCTCCATCACCACTTCTCATTTCCATTGCTCGTTAGCGCCTTCCTTCCTTCCTTCCTTCCTTGCTTCCTTCTTTCTTTCTTTCCTTCCTTCCTTCCTTCTTTCCTTCCTTCCTTCCTTCCTTCCTTCCTTCCTTCCTTCCTTCCTTCCTTCTTTCCTTCCTTCTTTCCTTCCTTCTTTCCTTCCTTGCTTCCTTCTTTCTTTCTTTCCTTCCTTCCTTCCTTTTTTCCTTCCTTGCTTCCTTCTTTCTTTCCTTCCTTCCTTCCTTCCTTCCTTCCTTCCTTCCTTCTTTCCTTCCTTCTTTCCTTCCTTCCTTCCTTCCTTCCTTCTTTCCTTCCTTCTTTCCTTCCTTGCTTCCTTCTTTCTTTCTTTCCTTCCTTCCTTCCTTCCTTCCTTCTTTCCTTCTTTCCTTCCTTGCTTCCTTGCTTCCTTCTTTCTTTCCTTCCTTCCTTCCTTCCTTCCTTCCTTCCTTCCTTCCTTCTTTCCTTCTTTCCTTCCTTCCTTCTTTCCTTCCTTCTTTCCTTCCTTCCTTCTTTCCTTCCTTCTTTCCTTCCTTCCTTCTTTCCTTCCTTCCTTCCTTCCTTTCTCCTTTCCTTCCTTCTTTCCTTCCTTTCTCCTTTCCTTCCTTCCTTTCTTCCTTCTTTCCTTCTTTCCTTCCTTTCTTCCTTTCTCCTTTCCTTCCTTCCTTCTTTCCTTCCTTCTTTCCTTCCTTCCTTCCTTCCTTCCTTCCTTCCTTCTTTCCTTCCTTCTTTCCTTCCTTGCTTCCTTCTTTCTTTCTTTCCTTCCTTCCTTCCTTCCTTCCTTCTTTCCTTCTTTCCTTCCTTGCTTCCTTCTTTCTTTCTTCCTTCCTTCCTTCCTTCTTTCCTTCCTTCTTTCCTTCCTTCTTTCCTTCCTTCCTTCCTTCCTTCCTTCCCTTCCTTCCTTCCTTCTTTCCTTCTTCCTTCTTCCTCCTTCCTTCCTTCCTTCCTTCCTTCTTTCCTTCCTTCCCTTCCTTCCTTCCTTCCTTCCTTCTTTCCTTCCTTCCTTCCTTCCTTCCTTCCTTCCTTCCCTTTATTGACAACATCCCTTCTTAAAGGCCAAACTGAACTCAGCTGTCTGTAACAACAGGGCCTGGGGCGGCGGTCTCGGACCACCTCGGAGTCCTCCGTGCATTCCATTGGACGGGAGAGGCACAATTCGGCCGCCACGCAGCCGTCTCCGCCCCCGCCCTCCATCCCGGAGAGGAAGAAGAGCCCCAAAGAAGCCAAGAAGGAGCTGGCACCTCAAAAAGTGAGCCCCAAACCTTAAAGGAAATACTTCCCCCCCCCACTCCCCCTTTGCTGGGTGGGCTCCGATGCCTTTGCCAAGCTGGGTCAAACTTTCCAGAGGCCTCTCGCTCGCTCTCTCCTTCCCCCTACAACAGTGTTTCTCAACCTTGACCATTTTCAGGCATGTGGACTTCAACTCCCAGAATTCCACAGCCAGCAATGCTGGCTGTGGAATTCTGGGAGTTGAAGTCCACATGCCTTAAAATGGTCAAGGTTGAGAAACACTGACCTACGAGCTTAGCACTTCCTCCTTCAAACTTAAAAGTCAGAAATTGCTCTGGAATCTCGGGGGCGGGGGAGAGGGGGACACATTGTATTAAAAGAAACGATGATTGCATATATATTTTTCAGAGCGGTGGCAACTGGCTTAGTTGGCTAATGGGGAAAAACAAAAACGAAGCTCATCTGCCCGAGGATAAGAACAAGTCGGTAAGGAAGCCGTTCACTGTCTACTGGCACGCCTGGGCATTATTTTCTCCCGTTTAATATGAAATTCACAAGTGTAGCGTTTGGCTACACCAGGGGTAGGCCACCGGGGCTCTTTTATGACTGGCGGACTTCAACTCCCAGAATTCCTGAGCCAGCCATGCTGAGGGGAAAGGGACAGGTTTCCATGCTGGAATTCTGGGAGTTGAAGTCCACCAGTCATAAAAGGACTAGAGTTCCCTACCTGTGGTGTAGAAGAATATAGCTTCAACCTTGAGGAGGAGGAGGAACTTGATGCCCTTGAATTAACTCTGACACACTATTGACTAGGCCAGGGGTAGGCAACCTTGGATCTTTTATGAGTGGTGGACTTCAAGTGCTTCAAAAGTTCTTGGGTGCGTCTAGTGGTGTGCGGGCGAGCATTATTGTGCACCAGCACCACACCGGAAGTCAGCAGTTGTCACCCAACGCTTGTTCTGGATGGCTCATCTTGAGTTTTCGTAACGTTTCACAGTAGACGTCTGAACTGATGGTCGAACCAGGCTCCATGGACTTCACCAGCCGTCCTCCTCTGGCATCTTCACATTTGGTGGGGTTTTCTAGGGCACCCCTTCCGGTGTGGTGTTGGTTCATGATACAATACTCACCCGCACACCGCTAGACGCACCCAAGAACTTTTGAAACAGTTCCGTTGGGATGTTTTTTTCTTTTTTGTTTTTTTTTATTAAAAAATTTTAAAAAACTTTTACAAAGACAGAAAAAAAACAATGACAACTACAATAAGACAAAAAAAACAAAAAACAAAACAATACAACCCTCCCCCAACCCCTCCCAAATCACCCCCTCCCTCCCCCCCCCCGAGCTTCCCAGAGCAGAATATAGGCTTAATTAAAAGAAATTAACAAAATTATAAGATAATTAAGAACAAAATATATATGAATAAAGAATTATAAACCTTAAAAAGAAAAAATATTTTAAAAAAAAGCAAAGAAAAGAAAAAAAAAAGTAGAGTTTTTATACAAGTTATAAAAAAGCTAAATGGTATTTTTTCATGTCCAATTTAAATTGTTGAGATGTTTTTGATATCTCTCTCTCTCACATACACACACACACACAGACAGACACACACACACACACAGACACACACACACACACACACACACACACAGAGAGCCCAGATTTGGCGTCAAGCAACGACTACTAAGGAATTTCATACATTGTAACGCTTTACGACAAGTGCCTCAATTTGAATGGCGATCAGGTCGAAAAGTAGTGTAATGTTGTGGTTTTCCAGTGGGTATAATAAAAGTTGTGTATCTGCCATTGTCTGACACTGATAACCAAACGGACGTTTATTTCCAAATTGCCCTCATAATAGATGAAAGGACTTAAATCAATACAGCAATAATCTTCAGTTTTCAATATAAAATATAATTATCTATGTTGTGGGTAGAGGTTAGACAAAGAAAGAAGGGAAAATACGGAATGTGTCCTTAGAAAGTTTCCCATAATATATTTACTTCTGCTTAGTAAGGTGTTTTTGTTTGTTTGTTCGTTTGTTTTGAAATTCTGTTATCTTAACGTAGACTGTTTTCCTTTATATTTGATTATTCTAACAATATTAAATGTGTCTAAATGGAAAACAGACATACAGGTCCAGCTAGCTGAGTCTGGCTCCTCTTGCAAAGCAGTGGGGGGCTCTTAACTTGCTTCTTTCTTCTTTATGCATCTGCAGATTGTTTGGGATGAGAAGAAACAGCGGTGGATCAACCTGGATGAACCCGAAGAGGAAGTAATTGCTCTGGCCAGTTTAGAGATGAATATAATAATAATAATAATAGTAAAGTTGGAAGGGACCTTGGAGGTCATCTAGTCCAACCCCCTGCTCGGGCAGGAAACCCTACACCATTTCGGACAAATGGCTGTCCAGTCTCTTCTTAAAAACTTCCAGTGTTGGAGCATTTACTGCTTCTGGAGGCAGGCTGTTCCACTGATTAATTGTTCTCACTGTCAGGAAGTTTCTCCTTAGTTCTAGGTTGCTTCTCTCCTTGATTAGTTTCCACCCGTTGCTTCTTGTCCTGCCTTCAGGTGCTTTGGAAAATAGCTTAATTCCCTCTTCTTTATGGCAGCCCCTGAGATATTGGAATACTGCTATCATGTCCCCCCTTGTCCTTCTCTTCGTTAAACTAGACATACCCAATTCTAGCAACCGTTCCTTATATGTTTTAGCCTCCAGTCCCCTAATCATCTTTGTTGCTCTTCTCTGTACTCTTTCTAGAGTCTCAACATCTTTTTTACATCGTGGTGACCAAAACTGGATGCAGTATTCCAAGTGTGGCCTTACCAAGGCATTGAAGAGTGGTATTAATACTTCGCGTGATCTTGATTCTATCCCTCTGTTAATGCAGCCTAGCACTGTGTTGGCCTTTTTGGCAGCTGCCGCACACTGCTGGCTCATATTTAAGTGATTGTCTACTAGGACTCCGAGGTCCCTCTCACATCATATCAGCCTGTCAAATGGGAATTGAGATCGCATCCCCACTGAGCATCATGCCCCAAGTCCCTTTTTGCTCTACACACACACACACACACACACACACACACACACACACACACACAGCACATTGTCAAGGGATGGCAAAGCAGCTGCATTCCTGGGAGGGTCTTCGTCTTTCTTTGCTATTCTAGCCTGCTTCTTTTCTCCATCCCTTTGTCTCCCCTGCTTGAGGGGTTCTTGTGAAAGCCATTTAATGGTTTGCTGCCATCCAACACCAAACGTAAAAGGCAGCCAACAGAGAACTGTGTCAGGAAAGGGAATGTTGTCAGTTAAGACAGTGGTTCTCGACCTTTTTAATGCCGCGACCCCCCAACCCGTCGTAAGTCGAGGACCACTCAACCGGTCGTAAGTCGAGGACGACTCAACTGGTGCAGCACCGTTTGCAGAATGGGACTTTTGGCGGGCTCAGCAGGGCAGAGACAGCCTGGACAATTCCTATTGGCTTTTGAAAGCCAATAGAATTAGACTCTATTCAAGAGAGTCTATTCTATTGGCTTTCAAAAGCCAATAGAATAAAAGGGAGTAGCACAGCGAAGGGAAAGGGGGGAAAAAATGGTGGACTGCGTTGTTTGGCGACCCCCGTGAAATGGTCGTTCAACCCCAAATGGGGTCCCGACCCACAGGTTGAGAACCACTGAGTTAAGAGATTTGGATTTCAAGGACTTTTCTCCCCCCACCATCACCTCTTTCTCTTTTTAGACCAAACCCCCTCCGCCTCCCCCCACCGGATTTCCTCAGGCGGTTGTTCCCTCTGGACTACCAGGACCGCCCAACGCTTCCGTCAACATGTTCTCCAGGAGAGCAGGTACCTTACACAGTCGGAAAACCTATCCTGAATATCCTGAGAGGTGGGGGAAAGCCAGGGGTTGCCTGTGAATCAGGGGGTCCATTGTCTGTCCACTCCCTTCCTTGGACGTGAGTGGCTGGTCCAGATGGCAGGCAACGTGGGAAGGCCGTCTTGGTTTGAGAGCATCTCAAGAAGTTGAGGAGGAGCTGAGGTGCTTTATGGCGAAGGGTCCCTTGGAATAAATCAGTAAACGCAACACAGCCTCACCCCTCGCTCAATCATTAGATCAGGGGTAGGCAACCTCAGCTCTTTTATGACTCATGGACTTCAACTCCCAGAATTCCTTCCGGCTTCCACCTGCCCACTTGTAAACTGAGGACTGCCTGTGTACAAGCTTAGTGCTTGGAAGGAACGGGTCTGCCTTTTAGCTAGCAACAGATCTATGGGTACTTAAATCATAGTGGGGTACCACAGGATTTCACTACAACATACAGAACACAGAATCACCGTTAGAAGGGACCTTGGAGGTCTAACCCCCTGTTCAAGCTGGAGACCTTATACCAGGGGTAGGCAACCTTGGCTCTTTTATGACTCACTCAGGAATTCTGGGAGTTGAAGTCCATGAGTCATAAAAGAGCCGAGGTTGCCTACCCCTGCATTAGATGGTAGCAGGGCAGCATTTGCAAAATGGCCAGAATGAGTTTGGCTTTTCATGTGTATCCCCTTAGCCCCCAAAGGGTAGGAACGCCCGCTCTGTGTTAAGTATTAAAACGAAACGGACGGACGCTATAGGAGTTGTGGGTCAGTGGGAGAATGGGATCCTGGAAGCGGATGTTCTGGAGCCTCCCGCTCGTTCCCACAGCTCCAGGTTAGCTTTGTGGGTCTGACCATAAGGTTTATAATAATAGTAGTAAAGTTGGAAGGGACCTTGGAGGTCATCTAGTCCAACCCCCTGCTCGGGCAGGAAACCCTACACCATTTCGGACAAATGGCTGTCCAGTCTCTTCTTAAAAACTTCCAGTGTTGGAGCATTTACTGCTTCTGGAGGCAGGCTGTTCCACTGATTAATTGGTCTCACTGTCAAGAAGTTTCTCCTTAGTTCTAGGTTGCTTCTCTCCTTGATTAGTTTCCACCCGTTGCTTCTTGTCCTGCCTTCAGGTGCTTTGGAAAATAGCTTAATTCCCTCTTCTTTATGGCAGCCCCTGAGATATTGGAATACTGCTCTCATGTCCCCCCTTGTCCTTCTCTTCGTTAAACTAGACATACCCAATTCCAGCAACCGTTCCTTATATGTTTTAGCCTCCAGTCCCCTAATCATCTTTGTTGCTCTTCTCTGTACTCTTTCTAGAGTCTCAACATCTTTTTTTGGATGCCCTCCGGGTGGGTTAGAAGAGAGCGTCAGATCTGTCCCCAACGTAGACCTTTAGGAAAGAAAGACTCTTAGTTCCATCCCTTCGAAGTGAAAGGTTCTTTTACTACAGTTAAGCGGCAAAAGCAGAGCCAGATCTGAGTATTCCCATGCCAAGGTGGCATTTTCCCCTTTCCCCTGGCCCTCCCCCTTGACCAGTCCATCAGTGGCCAATGATATTCCTCTTTGGAGTTTTGCACTCTGTTCCCAGGCCATGTGGCCTTGGCGCCCGGCTTATTCTGCTTTGAGCCGTGGTGGCACAGTGGCTAGAGTGCAGCTGTAAGGACCCACCTCAATCTTACATCTTAAGAAGACAGAACTCTTGGAATGTCTCTTCCAACAGGGATCTTTAGTAAGAGAAGATGGTTGCAGGCGTTCTAGACAGGATCTGGGGGATCCTCTCCCACCATTCAATGTTTTAAAGTGTTCCCAAGCAGCCCCCACCCCACAGTTCTTCCGGGCGATTCAATCCGTCAGTCCGCTCCACTCATCCTCTCTTTTCCCAGATCCCAGGCGTTGTATTTCCCACCCCCTTTTTCCTCACTGCCGGCAAAGGGGAGTGAGATGAAAGGCGATGGCCACATTGTTATGGTTAATTCTCTCCATGAGAATCCACAAACGGTCACTTTGTAGTTAAAGAAGGAAGTGAGAGTCATAAACCCCCCCATGCTTTCCCTCCTCCCTTTTCGTAGTATGGCAGAATCCAGACTAGAGTAAGAATTGGTTTTTCATCAGAGTAGGTAGATAGAAATGAAATATAATTGGAGTCTGACAGCAGCACTGTAAGCTCCTTCTGCTGACCAGGCTACCTGCAATTTGGCAGTTCGATTCGCAGCGGCTCAAGGTTGACTCAGCCTTCCATCCTTGGTAAAATGAGGACTCAGATCGTTGGGGGCCAGAGGCTGACTTTGTAAACCGCTTAGAGAGGGGTGTAAAGCACCATTTAAGTCTTAAGTGTCAGAATCCAATTCTATTTCATCTCTAGTTATCGACTATGGAAAACCCCATTTCTGCCCTCTCTGGATTCTGTCATACTACGAAAGGGGAGGAGGGAACAAGGGGGTTTAAGACTCTCACTTCCTTCATTACAACTTCAAAGGGACTGAATGTGGATTCTCACCAAGAGGACTGACCATAACAATATGGCCATCACCTTTCATCTACTACTCTCTGAAGTCTCCCTTCCGCCGGCTGTGAGGAAAAGGGGGTGGAAATGTAACGCCTGGGATTGTCGCTGGAAGGACAGTGGGGTGGGAGGGCTGCTGGGGACCCCTTAAAACCTTGAACCATAGGGCTTGTCCCCAAGTCCTGTCTAGAACGCCTGCAACCATCTTCTCTTAACAAAGATGCCTGTTGGAAGAGATATTCCAAGAGTTCTGTCTTCTTAAGATGCAAAGTGGGGTGGGTCCTTACATTAGACACTAAGTCAGTGGTTCTCAACCTTTTTAATGCCGCAACCCCCCCCCCCCAACCGGTCGTAAGTCGAGGACTACTCAACCGGTCTTAAGTCGAGGACTACTCAACTGGTGCAGCACCGTTTGCAGAATGGGATTTTTGGCGGGCTCAGCAGGGAAGAGACAGCCTGGACAATTCCTATTGGCTTTTGAAAGCCAATAGAATTAGACTCTATTCAAGAGAGTCTATTCTATTGGCTTTCAAAAGCCAATAGGCTAAGGAAAAGGGGGGAAAAATGGCGGACTGCCTTGTTTGGTGACCCCCGTGAAATGGTCGTTCGACCCCAAATGGGGTCCCGACCCACAGGTTGAGAACCACTGACCTAAGTGCTATTGCTATTGCTGTTGATACCTCTGGTTGCTGTCAGCTTGTCTCCCTCCCCCCCCCCCTTTTGTCCAAATTCCTTCTCTCCTCCCTTTGCCGTTTAGGGCAGGGTGTCCGTTGAGCGAAGAAGCTGAAGATGGCAGGCCTGACAGATAGGTTTCTTCTGGGAGGATTCCTGATAACTTGTGGGGTGGGGCCCCAACCAGCAAATATGGAACCGCTGCATATTTTGGCTTCGGGGTCCAGGATTGCATTTCACCACCACCCCCTCCTCGCCAAGAAAAGCATCGTTGATCCTTTCCATGGGTGTGGACTTCCTGTCCCAGAATTCCACAGCCAGCATGGCCATTAGTGAGAACTCTGGGAGTTGAGGTCCACCCTGGAAATGGCCAAAGATGGGAAGTGGCCCAGCAGCCAGCAATGGGCCCTTGCCTTCCCAACTGCAGCGCTCATGAAATTGGGGCACTGTTCCCTGACGTGCTTCCTCTCCCTCCGACTCTGGAATAAGCCTTTTTCCTCTGCTTGCCTCTTCACAGCAGGAAGTAAAGCTCGCTACGTGGACATTCTGAACCCCAGCAAAGCCAAGTCCCCCGTTGCTGCTCCAGCTCCAGCTGACCTATTCGCTCCCTTGGCCCCGTTGCCCATCCCTGCCAACGTGTTCGTACCCAACTCAGGTGAGTAAAGGCAGGTGAGAAGGCGGCAAGTAAAAGCCGCACTCCGGAGGCTGTCAGTCTGCCTGCCTTCCTTCCTTCCTTCCTTCCTTCCTTCCTTCCTTCCTGGCTGCTGTTTTTTCTGCTTCCCTTTCCAAGAAAGAGGGAAAAGGGAGAAAGCTGTTGGCTGATTTTAGCTGAACAGTTTTTGCGAGGAAAATAGAAGATCGGCGAATTTAATGAGCTGGCACAGAGTTTAGACCAGTGGTTCTCAACCTTTTTAATGCCGCGACCCCCCAACCGGTCGTAAGTCGAGGACTACTCAACTGGTGCAGCACTGTTTGCAGAATGGGACTTTTGGCGGGCTCAGCAGGGCAGAGACAGCCTGGACAATTCCTATGGGCTTTTGAAAGCTTTGCTGGCTGAGGAATTCTGGGAATTGAAGTCCACAAGTCTTAAAGTTGCCAAGGTTGAGAACCCCTGCCCTAAAGCCAGCCAGAGATCACCACTATGGGAGAGAATGCCCATTTCAAACTGGGCTCCTTTTCCATGGAAAACCCTATGCAGAGACCCAGGACGGAAGGGACTGGGAACTTGTTCCTTTTTTTAAAAAAACCTGTGACCTCTTCATATACAGTTCCTGAAGAGCAGACGCTGCTGGAGGGCGGAGTTGCTCAAGATCAGGTGGCACCCGGGAACGACACCAACCCTGAGTCAATTGGAGAAGTTCCAGTAAGTTGGAGTTGCAAATGTTGTTTACTTTTAGAGATGGGAGACCCACACGCAACAGCTGGGCTTAAAAGTATTGTATTTGTATTTAATTTTATTTATATGCCGCCCAATCCCAAAGGACTCAGGGCGGCGTACAGAGTTAAAACAATCATAAAACAATAAAATAATACAGTCATACCGCCCCACTTGGAAGCCTCGGGCTAAGAATCCAGATGTTGGATGTCAGTGAAAGACTGTTGGCTGGGCAGCGGGTTGTACTTGGTTGAGGGAAGAGAGAACAGCAAAAAGGGGTGAAAGATACGTGAATAAGAAGAAACATATGCAGCATCCTTGACATATGACCCCAGGGGACCAGAATTCCCGCTGTAAGTCATGGAGGTCATAAAGTGAGTCATCACGTGAGTGAACCTAATGACGTCACCATTCTCACCACAGTTGTTAAACGAATCCAGTTTTTCCCCAGTTGATGTTTTTTTGGGGCAGAGACTGGCTGGGAGGGCCACACATCACAGTCACGTCACCACAAGACGACGCAACCGGTTGCAGAGGCGAGCCAGTTGCCAAATGCCTGAACGGCAATCCCGGGACTTGGGGGGTGGTGGTGGGAGGATAAGTGTCAGTGCAAGGACGGCTTGCGTTTCGCGTTTTCCGAGACGTCGTACTCTTGAACCCTAGCTAAACAGCCATGAAAAAAAGCCTACCTGTGTTAAGTATTGCCCTGGCCCTTCTCTGACCTCTCCAAGGATGGGGAACGTTCACAAAAAACACGAATACTTTCAGTTTTTATAAAATGGCCCATTCCAGTGCTTGGCCGTCGATCATTTAAATGGGATTCTTTTGGGTCGTTGCTCCGTTTCCACCATTCATGGCTCCCTTCCTCTTTTTGTCTTTTAGTACTTACATTCTGCTGCGTTTCCACCTGGGCCTGAGCTTTCTGCACCGAATCCGGGGGACGCCCAGTCTGGAGAGGTAGGCATCCCTAGCTACTCTGAGCCTTTGAAGCCTCTGCCAGATCCTTCTAGCCCAGGGGTAGGCAACCTGGGCTCTTTTATGACCGGTGGACTTCAACTCCCAGAATTCCTGAGCCAGCCATGCTGAGGGGAAAGGGAGAGGTTTCCAAGCTGAGCCGTGCTGGCTCAGGAATTCTGGGAGTTGAAGTCCACCAGTCATGAAGGGGCCAAGTTTGAAGACCCCTGCCAAAGAGGCTTGTAGCCACCATACATGTGAAATGGTCTAGCTCAGGGATAAGCAACCTTGGCTCTTTTATGACTGGCGGACTTCAACTCCCAGAATTCTTGAGCCAGCCATGCTGAGGGAAAATGGAGAGGTTTCCAAGCTGAGCCAGGCTGGCTCAGGAATTCTGGGAGTTGAAGTCCACGAGTCATAAAAGAGCCAAGGTTGCCTACCTCTAGCCTAGGCCTAGGCCGCTTTGACTCGTGGACTTCAACTCCCAGAATTCCTGAGCAGCATGGCTCAGCTTGGAAACCTCTCCCTTTCCCCTCAGCATGGCTGGCTCAGGAATTCTGGGAGTTGAAGTCCACCAGTCATAAAGCGGCCTAGGCCTAGGCTATAGGTAGGCAACCTTGACTCTTTTATGACTCATGGACTTCAACTCCCAGAATTCCTGAGCCAGCCATACTGAGGGGAAAGGGAAAGTTTCCAAGCTGAGCCATGCTGGCTCAGGAATTCTGGGAGTTGAAGTCCACGAGTCATAAAAGAGCCAAGGTTGCCTACCCCTGTTCTAGGCCCACCTTTGCAACAGAAAATATAGCAGGGAACCAAGTTCAGGAGCTGAAAGGTTGTTGGAAGCAGGAAGAGCAGAACCGGAAGGAGGTAAACATACAGGAAAGTTTGGTCTGGCAATCTCTATCTGGGAGCCGAAGACCTACTTGCCTCTCCTTAAAGAGGTCTGCCCTGCTGAGGAACTTTTGGTCCTCTGTTGAACATTGTTTGTGCATGAGTTTGACTTAACGTTGAGTGCCATGAAAATGCTAGGCTATTAAAATCCAACCCCAGGCCTTGAGTTGCATCTGAGATGTTTGTAACCCAGAAAGGATCTTTTTTTAAAAAAAAAAAAACAAAGCTAACTTGCATTTAGCAATATGTATCATTTAACTCGGGGTAGGCCACCTTGGCTCTTTTATGATTCATGGACTTCAACTCCCAGAATTCCTGAGCCAGCCACACTGAGGGGAAAGGGAGAGTTTCCCAGCTGAGCCAGGCTGGCTCAGGAATTGTGGGAGTTGAAGTCCACAAGTCATGAAGGGGCCAAAGTTTCCCCCATGCTGGCTCAGGAATTCTGGGAGTTGAAGTCCGCGAGTCATAAAAGAGCCAAGGTTGCCTACCCCTGAACTAAGCCAGGGGGTCTTCAAACTTGGCTCTTTTATGACTCGTGGACTTCAACTCCCAGAATTCCTGAGCCAGCCATGCTGAGGGGACAGGGAGAGGTTTCCATGCTGAGTCACGCTGGCTCAGGAATTCTGGGAGTTGAAGTCCATGAATCACAAAAGAGCCAAGGTTGCCTACCCCTGATTTAACCTTTGCCCCTGGGACCCTCCCCCTGCCCTTCCCCTTTTGATATGAACAAGAGTATAGCTGAGAGTTGCAGGCAGCTGGCATGGTGACTTTGATTCCTTTTTTTTGTGTGTTGTGTGTCTTTGCTGTTTTGTAGCTTTCGCGCTCTAGTTCAATGAGTTCATTATCCCGTGAAGTCAGCCAGCATTTAAATCAGGTACCTTGGCTGGCCCTCCTCTTCTCTTTTCCTTTTCCCTCCCCCCCCCAAATCATATCTTGTTCCAGTTCCGCCGTCTCCAACTTGCATTTTATCAAACTAACACGTCGCCCTAAAGATGGAAGCCTTCCGGCCTTCAAAGCAGGGAAATGGAGTAGACTCACACAGCCATGCCTACCTCTTTGTGAGCCAGCCCTCCTGTGCTGGGGAAACGTGATTGCTTTTCCACAATGCAGGGTTCAGAGTCCAAGCCAAAAAAAGGGGGGGGTCAAGAGTTGGGGTCTTGTCCAGCCAGCCTGGAATGAGATAGCAACCCAAAAACAGTAGAAAAAAACAAAAGTGCTAAACCAGGATGTGTTTCAGTGTAAATCCAGCCATTGCCTTTGTGTGTTGTGTGAAGAGGGTCATTGGATTAAGCCAGAATATAGTTTATTCGCTTTATATAGTATGAATCTGGTTTAAGTGTGCTGTGAGTGAACCCGTGAGCATATTTTCCCGAAAATAAGGCCTGGTCTTTTTTTTTTTTTTTTTTTTGCCTCCAAAAGAGGCACCAAGTCTTATTTTTGGGGTAGGCCTTGCCTCATCTCTGGCACTGACAGCCCCACCCAGCCGGTCCACTTCTTCTGGGGCCGAAATTCTGCAGCTGCATTCGGGCCTGCGTCTTGCAGTCAGGCCTTTCCAGAAGGCCTAAGCAGCCGAGTACCAAGCTATGGATTCAATCCATAGCTTGGTGCTTGGCTGCTGAGGCCTTGCAGAACTGAGCAATGGATCAAATCCATAGCTCGGTTCTCGGCTGCAGAGGCCTTCCAGAAAGCCCCGTGACTGAGAAATGCAGGCTTGGCTGCAGAAGAGGCCTCAGAAGAAGAAGTGGGCCAGCGAGGAGAGGCCTGTTTGCAAGGCAAGTGGGTGCGGGGCGGGTGGGGCAGCTCCTCACAAACACAAACACACACAGACACACACACAAAACCCGACCTAGCTTGATTTTTAGGTGTGTGCCTCGCCCAAAACTAGGGCTTATTTTGGGGGTAGGGCTTATATTAGGCCCACCTCCAAAAATCACGCTAGGGCTTATTGTTGGTGTAGGCCAGGGGTAGGCAACCTTGGCTCTTTTATGACTCGTGGACTTCAACTCCCAGAATTCCTGAGCCAGCTGTGCTGAGGGGAAAGGAAGAGGTTTCCTAGCTGAGCCAGGCCGGCTCAGGAATTCTGGGAGTTGAAGTCCACGAGTCATAAAAGAGCCAAGGTTGCCTACCCCTGGTGTAGGCCTTACTTTTGAGGAAAATATCTGCAAGAAAACCACCAAGCTCCCCTCATTTCAACTCTTGAGTTACGCTCATTTATCAGCGCTATTGTGATGCAGCGCATACAGGGCTAGCGTTCACGGGGAGCGTTTGGGGGGAAATTGAAGGGGGCGTTTTGGAAGCGTGAAGCCTGCTGTACAATTTTGTAAAATCAGCGCTGGCAAGAAACAGCAATTCTGTCAGCAGGGAGTTTGGGGAAGACCACCAAAAAGGACTTAAGGGGCCACTTGTGCCTTACACGGTATCCATTCGATAATCATATATCATACTATACATCATATGACATGACAAGATGGCTGTCTTCCAGTACTTGAGCGACTGTCACAAGGAAGAGGGGATTGACTCATTTTCCAAAATACCAGAGCGCATCACTAAAGAGAGACCCAAGCTAGAAGTAGTAAAATAACCTGTCAGTGAGAACGATTACTCAGCCTGCTGGAGGTTTTCAAGAACAGATTGGACAATCATTTGCCTAGAACAAGGGTCTTCAAACTTGGCCCTTGGATGACTTGTGGACTTCAACTCCCAGAATTCCTCAGCCAGCGTCCCTTTCAGCCCTGGGATTCTATCCCAACTGCTTTATTGCACGAATGAGTAAAATCCACAGAACAGAACACTAACAAACTGTGTGTCTAAACACGCCGAAAAGACCCAAGAGCAGAGAGACCTCATTTTTGCTGGAAAATGCTCAGTGAACATTTTCTGCTCCCTTTTGAAATCCCCCCCCCCAAAAAGAATGTTTTGCTGAACGCGAAGCATGCCTTTTCCATGTTTTGCAACATTCTTCTCCCTCACCTTCTCCCTCACATGCAGGCAGAAGTCCTCCTGGTTGGGGGGGGGGACACCCTTGATGCTGTGAGAAAATGCTCAACATTTCACAACTGCTGTTCCAGCTGGCATTCAGAGGCCAATCAAAATGCCTTGGTGCTCAGCTGGATTTATGAGAGTTATGAATCTAAATGGATGGAAGCTCCACGAAGCCCTTGGGCAGAAACCTCACAGCAGGTCCCGTTCTAGAACCGTGGTCTTCCTAGAACAGGCTTTCTCAACCTTGGCAATGCATGGACTAATTCCCCAAATGGGTCTATCTCAGGGCTTTTCAACCAGTGGTACGGGTACCACTTGTGGTGCATTAGCACCTGGCAGGTGGTACGCGACCATCCTAGAAAAGTGGTAATGGGGAAGGGGAATGAGCTGAACTGGTGGCAGCACCGCACAAGCCTGAGCGAGAGACGGCTGGAGCTGCAGGGCTGTCAGGGCTCAGCGGAAGCGCCAGGATCAATGCCGCTTTCCAGCTGATCGGTGCTTTGGGGCTGTCAGGGCTCAGCGGAAGCACCAGGATCAGCACCAGGCTCCAGCTGGAGCTCTGCGCTGATCCTGGTGCTTCTGCTGAGCCCTGAAGAAGCACCAATCAGCTGGAAAACAGCACTGATCCTAGTGCTTCTGCTGAGCTCAGAAGAAGCGCCGATCAGCTGGAATGTTGCAGCCTCTCCAGGGTCTTGTGACTTACATTCAGATGCTTGGCAACTGATTCATATTTATGACGGTCACAGTGTCCCAGGGTCACGTGAAGTGACCAAAACCTGCTGCAACCACCCAGCAGACAGGGGGAGGGGAATAAAAACCAAACACCCCCCACCCCATCCCCGCTGCCAATCCTCAACAGAAATGCTCAGAACAATGAAAACCTCGGACAGGAGGAAGAGCGCCACCAGGCGGGCAGGCAGCTGTCTTGCTCGGCTGTGGCTTGGGGGGCACTTTTTTCAGTGCCATTGTAACTTTGAACAGTCATTAAGCGAACTGTTGTAAGTCGAGGACTACCTGTATCACTTTTTTCCCTTTTTGGGGGGGGTCAAGTTTTTGACACCTTGCTAGGCAACTGGTGGTCCTTGGATGTTGCCATATCCTAAAAGTGGCACAATGGGTGAAAAGGTTGAAAAGCCCTGGCCTATGTGTCTTAAAGTTGCCAAGGCCTGAAAAAGCTCCCCCAGGTCCTGTCAGAAGCGCGTCCATCTTTGTACACGTCCATCTCTGGGCCTCCCGTGGAAGCGACGAGGGGAGGGGATGCACCCCAACCAGCTGGGCATTCTTCGGGCACTCAGCACGGCTAGCCTTTCCGCTGCTCCTCTTGCATGTTTAGAATGCCCCTCCCCTTTTTACCCCAAAGGAGCCTTTTCAGGCCCGTGCATGTGCCTTTGTTCTGCAACAGCCTGCACTGCTGCTCCCGTTGGTAACACAGAAGCTTCCCTGCAAGTCGGGGGCAGATGGGTTTTCCTTCCCGCTTTGGCATTTGTGTGTAATACTCTGCTGCAGTATTGTGGGATCCCTGGCTGTCAAGCATACAAGGCAGGCTTGTTTGACTTTCTCTGGCATCTCGGTAATAGAAAACCGTCTCCTTGCTTTGTTTAGGCACCTTCTGCAGATCACCCAAGTGGTGCTGTCCAGTTCTACAATCCATCTCAGTTTTCCCAGGTACAATTTATTTATTTATTTATTTATGAGACTTATATACCGCTTTAAGTGCAAGCACTCTCTAAGCGGTGTACACCAGTAAGCAATGTATGTGTGTGTGTGTGTGTCTGTGTGTGTGTGTGTGTATACACACATACATACATTGCCCCCAACAATCTGGGTCCTCATTTTACCTACCCCGGAAAGATGGAAGGCTGAGTCAACCTTGAGCCGGTGAGATTTGAACCGCTGACCTGCTGAACGCAGTCAGCTAAAGTGGCCTGCAGTACTTGCACTCTGACTGCTGCGCCACCTCGGCTCTTATATTCTTCCTCCTCTCAATAGGTCCCCTCCAGTGTGAGCACTGCAAAACCAGCCTTGTACGGACCCCTCCACATACATAGCCCACTCCCTGTAATGCTCCAAGCTTTGCTCCAACTTGTATCGAATCCTTTGAGTGGGTTCAGGGTCCAAAAGGTTTTGCTTCCACCGTGGATTTGCTAGGAATAGTCTTCTTGTGAGCTTTGAGGATTGGGATTTGATTTGAAACAGACTTTGCTTTGCGTTAAATACAACCTGAGAGGAGAATTTCAAACCATGGAAGTTGTGTTTGCAGGGCTCTTTTGGTTTCAAGCTATGCGGTTACCAAATTGATGGAAGGAAAAAAAAATGTCTTTTGTCTTTTCAGTCTGCCGCAGCTCCAGCTAGCTCACGACCTGGCAGATTTGGACAGAGGAAATACCCCACCTTAAAATAGCATCCATTCGGTCTCTCGGCTTGGGCCATCGCACAAGGGTCCCCAAAGATGCCATGGGGTGCCAGCGCCGTTTCTCAAATTGAGAATCAATCTGGGTTGCTCCCTCACGGAGACTGTGGCCGACACGTTGATTACCAAATGCTCCTTGTTACGTAAAAGCTGGCGGAGATCAAACCTCAGAGGGACCGGAGAGATCAACCCACCGGAATGCAGTTGAGGCTGCCTCAACCAGAAGGCCTGGGGGGGGTTCCCCCTTTCCTCCCTGGTTTTTGCTGACACCCAGCTGCTCCATCCATGACAGACTTCTCCCGTGTGACATCTTTTAACGTGACAGTTTGTGGCCTTACAGGGACTGGGGCACAGCTTTTATGCACATAAACCCCCCCACTTGGGTTTATTACTCCTCTGGAACATGGGCAGAATTGGTGGGGATTTCCTTTTCCTGTCGACCTTCCCTCTCTCCCAACGTTTGGGGAGGGGACTGTAGCTGATCCAAATAAGCAGACAAATGTACATTGAATAGGGGGAAACAAAAACTGTGACTTCTAATCTAAGATTTAATTGGAAGTGGGTTTTCTTTAGCGTGTATGTAGTTGGCGTCTTAGGCTCCTTGTCAGACGAACTGTAGAGTCAGAAGCAGACGCTCTTTGTTGTAGCGTTTCGCGTTGTTCCCCTTCTGATAACTCCTCTTGAAGTGCAATATGGCTCCTTTCCGAAACTCAGACCCCTCAAAATAACACCCTAACAGCTCAAAAGGGCTTGGCATTTTATTTTTTAAATGTAGTGTGGAAGCTTTCGTTCTTCCGTCTCTAGACTTTCCCCATTTCCCACTGGCCGAGCTCATAAATACCTGGTCGCCCCCTTTTTATTTAACTAATTAAATTAGCAAGCCCCTCTAACAGAGACATCAAATCGGTCTCAAGTGGGGTTGCAGGAAATCTTCAGAGCTGTCATAGGTTGTGCTAACATCCATGGAAGCCTGAACAAGAAGGAACTAATAGTTGGTGCAGTAAAGACCAATACAGAGGGTATTTTTTAATGTTGATGCTCAGCTCTGTGGTTTAATCCTGCAATCTGGGTTCTGGAGAACCTCGAACACATTTCCAAGGATTGTGGTGGGCGAAGAGTTGTAGAAAAGGCAGAGCTTGTCTCAACAGCCTGCTGGCTTCTTTTCCAGTCATCTCGAACGCCTGGTTTTTATCCCTTTCGACCTCTGTCTCTCTTGAGTTTCTCTCTGTCGGTGACCACCAAGTGTTTTTCACTTCCAGCTGTCCCTCCACCCAGAGACCCACTCTCTGTCCTAAATATTAGAAACACACTGTACATTCTTAAATAAAATATTTTGCGCCTCTGGAGCACTTTTCACACTTAACTCGGCCTAGGTTTATTGGGGTCCCCGACTCGACGCAGAAGCCGTTCTAACAGCCTGCAAGTTTCTGGCACCGGACCCTCCACTCAGGTTTGGAGAAAACTTTCTGAGGGGGTAGTTCATTGGGAGGATGGAGGCTGAATGGGAGCACAACAGATCTGTATAAAACATTAAGTTCCATTAAGTCAGTGTTTCTCAACCTTGACCATTTTAAGGCATGTGGACTTCAACTCCCAGAATTCCACAGCCAGCAATGCTGGCTGTGGAATTCTGGGAGTTGAAGTCCACATGCCTTAAAATGGTCAAGGTTGAGAAACACTGCATTAAGTCATCATCAGCTCATAGTGACCACACAGACTTCCTCCGAGAGGGTCTGTCCCCCACCTGGCCTTTCAGTCTTCCGACCACGTCCCCATCTCCCCTGCAGTGGAGTCCATCCCCTTCACAGCTGGTTGCCCTCTTCCCCCTTTCCCAGCTTCTCCAGAGCTGGGTTTTTCATCATGTGGTTTTCAAAATAATGATAATAAAGTTGGAAGGGACCTTGGAGGTCATCTAGCCCAACCCCCTGCTCAGGCAGGAAACCCTATACCATTTCGGACAAATGGCTGTCCAGTCTCCTCTTAAAAACCTCCAGTGTTGGAGCATTCACTGCTTCTGGAGGCAGGTTGTTCCACTGGTTAATTGTTCTGACTCTCAGGAAGTTTCTCCTTAGTTCTAGGTTGCTTCTCTCCTGGATGAGTTTCCATCCGTTGCTTCTTGTCCGGCCTTCAGGCGCTTTGGAGAAGAGCTTGACTCCCTCTTCTTTGGGGCAGCCCCTGAGATATTGGAACACTGCTATCCTGTCCCCCCTCGTCCTTCTCTTTGTTAAACTAGACATACCCAGTTCCAGCAACCGGTCCTTGCCTCAAGAGAGACCTCTGGGTTGAGGTGTTCAGTGATCTGTCCCTTTGTTTTGGCCTTCCATGGTTTCCTGGGGACTCGTCTCCAGTCCCAGAATTCAGAAGCATCGGTGCTCTTCCTCTCCTGCTTCCTTGCAAATGTTAATTGCGAAGTCGTGTCCGACCCATCGTGACCCCATGGACAACGTTCCTCCAGGTCTTCCTGTCCTCTACCATCCTTGCAAATACAAGAAACAAAAGTTGGAGTCGCGATGTATAAAAGCAACAGGTAGTCAGTCCTGAGCAAAGCCCTCCATAGGGTGATGAAGAAGAAGAAGAAATGCCCAGTACTGTAATACAGGTAGTCCTCAACTTACAACACTTCATTTAGTGACCAAAGTTGCGACGGCACTGAAAAAAAAAAGGGACGTGACTGTTTTTCATTTACAAACTTTTGCAGCATCCCCATGATCATGTGATCAAAATTCAGATGCCTGGATTTTCAGATACATTAAATTTCACATCCATCCCCCCTACCTCAGACCAGAATTCTAAGCAGAGAAAAAAAATAGTTAAAAGGAACAGCCCCCCTCCCCTTTTCTGCCTCTCTCACTCTTTCACTGCCAGTGAAAAAAGGAGACAGGAGAAAGAAAGAAAAAAATTACAAAAATCTCACCAGGAACAAAATAGTTTTCTCTCCTTCACACACATATATTTTCCACCTCCTCATGCAAACGCTTGCTATTGCCTTTCCATTTCACAACAACAACAAAAACCTGCAGTTTACTATTTCTTCCACAGCCTGGGAGCAGGGGTTTAGGGGCTAACACACACACACACACACATTTACATGTCAGCAGATTAACTCATTCACTTCCATTCTACCTGCTTGCATAAACAATTTCACATACAAATCTTTCATTTCATACTTTCTCCAGGCAAACCATTTATTTTTAAATAAGGCCTTTTTGTTGTTATCAGAGAGGGTTTTGACCCTCTTCCAAGTCTTGGAAATAACAGAACGCAGACATATATACACAGATATTATTAACACAATTTTTTTTTTAGACACGTGGCTTGTCCTGCAAGAAGTGAGAAAAATCATGAGGTGATTCCAACCAAATGTGGTTTTTATAGGGCCCTTTAACTATTTCTTATTTTTCTGTTCCAAGTCCAATCTTAATGTTCTGGATGGCTAAAAATATTTATAAACACACACACATGAATTTGGGGTTTGTGGCCAAAGCAGGTTGCTTCCAATTTTTCCCAACAACTTCAAAAGACAGTGGGGAAGGACTAAAACAGTGTTTCTCAACCTGGACAATTTTAAGGCATGTGGACTTCAACTCCCAGAATTCCACAGCCAGCATTGCAGGACACACACACACATGTGGACTTCAACTCCCAGAATTCCACAGCCAGCATTGCAGGACGGACGGACACACACACACACACACACACACACACACACACACACACACACACACACACACACACACACACACACCCACCAGTCCCCAAGGGGCTGGACTAGAAGACCTCCAAGGTCCCTTCCGCCTCTATTCTGATTCTCATTCAGACGAGGCGGGTGGGCGGAGCCAATCAGGCGGGTGGGCGGCACCTTGAAGCGCCTCCTTCCTCCTGCCCCGCCCATCCGGGTTGGGCCTCCTTCCCCCCCCCCGCCTTAGAAGAGGCGTCGGGAAGTGAAGAACCGCCCCCCGCTGGTCTCCGCGGCAACGCGTGGAGCGGGGGCGGGGCCAGGGGAGCGCACGCGCACGCGCACCCGCGCGGCGGCCGTTGGAGGGGGCGGGGCCGCGGCCTCGAGACCCGGCGGCCGGTGCGCGAGACTTGGCCGGCGCGGCGTTGGCTGCCCACAACGGCCCTGCGAGGTAGGCCACCCGCCTCCGGGGGCCGGCGGGGCGGGCGGGCGGATGAGGGGGCGCGGCCTCTCCGCCGTCGGTGGTTCTAGTCTTTGTCCTATTTGCCTCAGCTTTTATCCTTTCGTGGTTTGTTTCCCGCGCGGTTTTTTCATTGGCGTTGCCTTTGCTACGGAGCGACCGGAGTTCAGCGTCGCTTTGTGGTGATGTTACACGTGTCGCGGCCGCCCACGCCGGAGGATTCGGACGCCCCCCCCCCCCAAAAAAAATCAGGTAACTAACTCGGAACCGGCCGGCCAGGCTCCCTTCCGTGTCTGCCAAGGCCAGGGGTAGGCAACCTTGGCTCCTTCATGACTGGTGGACTTCAACTCCCAGAATTCCTCAGCCAGCATGGGAGCACTATGGCTCCTTCATGACTTGCGGACTTCAACTCCCAGAATTCCTGAGCCAGCCTGGCTCAGCTTAGAAACCTCTCCCCCTCAGCATGGCTGGCTTAGGAATTCTGGGAGTTGAAGTCCACATGTCTTAAAGTTGCTGAGGTGGAGAAACGATAGACTAGGCCAGGGGTAGGCAACCTTGGCTCTTTTAGGACTGGTGGACTTCAACTCCCAGAATTCCTGAGCCAGCATGGCTAAGCAGGGAAACCTCTCCCTTTCCCCTCAGCACGGCTGGCTCAGGAATTCTGGGAGTTGAAGTCCACGAGTCATGAAGGGGGCCATAGTTCCCCCATGCCTGGCTCAGGAATTCTGGGAGTTGAAGTCCATGAGTCATAAAGCCACCTAGGCTAGAGGTAGGCAACCTTGGCTCTTTTATGACTGGTGGACTTCAACTCCCAGAATTCCTGAGCCAACCATGCTGAGGGGAAAGGGACAGGTTTACAAGCTGAGCCAGGCTGGCTCAGGAATTCTGGGAGTTGAAGTCCACCAGTCATAAAAGAGCCAAGGTTGCCGACCCCTGGCCTAGGACGATTGACTGGCTCCTGACTCCTGAGGGGGGGGGGTTGTGGGGGCTTGGGGGCTCCGGTGCCGGGGGGGGGCCTGAGGACCCCTTCTTGCCCCTCCCTGCGGGGGGGGAGGAGGGGGGGGCTCTTGTAACCTCCCCGGCTGGCCCCTCCCCCCCTTTTCATTCCTGCCCGTTTAATTGCCTGCTGGTGAAGGGGGCGGAGTCCAGGGCTGCTCCCCCCATCCATCTCCTGGACCTTCTTGTCACTAGATCAGACATACCCAATTCCCAATAAACTGTTCTTTATCTGTTGTAGCCTCCAATCCCCTAAACATCTTTGTTGCTCTTTCTGCATTCATTCTAGACTGCAGAGGTAGGCAACCTTGGCTCTTTTAGGACTCGTGGACTTCAACTCCCAGAATTCCTGAGCCAGCTACTTGCCCTACGGAAGTCCATGTAAATTATGTCCACAGCATTTCAGTCACTAATTTAGTCACTTTTTCAAAGAATGCAGTAAGATTTGTCAGGCATGATGGATTTGACAATCCCATGTTGGCTTCGGGTTATAACTTTGCTTGCCTTTAGGTGTTAGTTGCTTGATTATCTTTTCCAGCATTTTCCCAGGTATTGATGTCAGGCTCATTGGTCTGTAGTTTCCTGGATCCATTTTTTTCCCTCTTTTGAAGATGAAAATCATGTCGGCTCTTATCTAGTCCTCTTATAGTTCCCTGATGCTCCATTACATCCATGTTGTATGATTGCAACCATAAATGTATTTTGCCCACTTTGATATCCCTGCCTTGACGCCTGATACTTTGCTGGGTATAAAGTACAGACTTTTAAAGACTGTGTATAAACTATTTAAGGGGTACCTGCCATTTTCATCATAAGCTAATGGGGTAAATAGTGTTCTTTCAGATGAATCTACCCTAATAATAATTTCCTACAGTTCTGATTTGTTTCATAAACCTCTGATCTTTAAAATGGGAATGCCCCAACTAATACTAGGAGCATCTTTCGAGAGCGGATCCATTGGGTGGTTTCAACATTTTGCAATTAAAACAGCAATTAACATTGCTAGGGGCAGTACAGAGGGCCACACCAACTTGGGTAACACTTTTAGGATTCCTTCCCTGATCATTTTTTCCCCCTCTTCAGGTTTTTCCTCACAGATGGAAACTTGGCGAGGGAGAAATAGCGACTCTTTGTCTTCCTCATAGCTGGTGCGTCTAATGGATTCTCATAGCAGACAATGGAGCATCTCTCTAGCGATGGGCCCCAAATCCTGCAGGCCAAGGAGGACGGC